TTCTTTGTCATTAAAAGGTGTATTAATTTTGGCCTCCAGATTGTCGTTTACTTGTTGAGTTCATGTTTCTGTATAGTAAGTTTCCATTTCTGTCATGTCACTTATGCTTGCATCTTTTTAGACAATTTGACTATATGTGGGTTTGTTGTTTGTGTTTAGCATCATGGGGTTGTTTGTTTGTTCTACTTCTGTATCTATTTGGTTGCTTTGTTTTAGTTCTGTAGTTTGGTTACTATTTGCTATTGTTTTGTAAAGATTTTGCAATTCTATTGGTGTAGGTTCTATATTGTGTTGGTTGCTTATTTTTATATTTGGAGTTTGATTCTGTAGCATGGTTGTTTGATTTTCTTTTATGGCTACATAAGCTTGTGTATTATATGAAATATTACTGTATTATTTTTTTTTCCTATAATATTTGTTAAAATGTTGCTGCTGCTAGTTTGGGTTGTATTGTTGTTGTGCTGGTTTGTTTGAGATGACATTATTGCTTGTTTTGTAGAAGGTATGCCATATTGCCCACTTTTGTTGCTGGCTAGAATTTGAGAAGGAACAGTACGTCTTTTTTTGTTGTATGCATCTTTGTACGTGACATCTAAGTTGGTACAATGTTGTTGCTATCTGGTAGGATATTTGTGGTTGCTACTCATCGTGCCTGAAGTTTTTGTTTTATAACTTTGCAGTACTGCTGGCCTTGATAGCCTTAGTTTGCCTTTATGGTTAAATGTATTGAATTTTCTTTTTTTATTTTTGTCTTGTATAGTTAAAGTGGTTGTATTTTTGCTTTGTATCTTGTATAAGTAGTTTTTTTGCCCAGAGTGGGCTTTTTTATTTAGATTTTCTTCTATTGTATTCATTATTTTTCTATTTTTTGTTTTTTGCCTTTGCCGATTTTTATGTTTTAAGATCTGCAGATAAGAGTTTTTTTTTTATTTATAACTAAAAAATATTAAATTAAAAAGTTTAAATTAAACTATATATAATTTATATATAAAAAATTTTAATAAAAATTTATAGTAAAGTTACTAAAGCAAAAAAAAGTTTATAATAAAAATTATAATAATTTATAAAAAATATAAATTTTAAAAAAGTATAATAATATAATTAAGTAGTTATATTGTTACCTTCAAAATAATAAGTTTAAAATTCAAATTCTAATATCAATAAAAATTTAAAAATTTTTTTTGTATTATAATTAATTGTCTTTTACTATTAGTTAAAATAAGATATCTATTACCTATATTAGTATAACTAAAAAATTATATAACATTTATACAATAGTATACTATTGCATAAAAAAAAACAAATTAGTATCAAATAGTATTTGAAACTAGTTTTATTTTTTATATGTTAAATCTAATTAAAACTAATTTTAATATAAAATAATAAAACTAATTTCAAATACTAGTACTAGGTAGTATAAACTTTTGATAAATTTTTATAATTATATAAATTATATAAACTAAAAAAACAGTAATTATATAAACTGAGAACTTAATAAAACTTGAATTAAATATTAAAGTAATAAAAATATATTAAAAAATAAATAAATTTTAGTAAATTTTACAAAAGCATAATAGTTTAATGATTAACTTTAACTATAAATATTGTTTTAATTATAGTGGAATTAAGTTAGTTATAAGAATAAAATCTAAAAAATTCTAAAAAATTTAATACAAAATCAAAGGTTTTTCATATACTGTAAGTAAATTAGATTAAAGATTTAATAAATAAAACATATTTGCATTAGTATTAACTAGTAATATTTAGTAAAAATAAGTAAATAAATAGATACAGATACTAGAGTGTATAAATAAAATGTTTATAAGTAGGTTCTAGATATAACAACTAGTATAAAATTTTTTAACAGACTACTTAAATTAGACAATACTAAAATTGTATAAGTAACTAATTATATACTCTTTTAATGATTGCTTTTTGTAATTGTTATGCAACTATTAGCTGAATATACTATTAATAAAATTCTAAGTCACAAGTACTTAACTTAATATTAAAAAAAAATACAAATCTTTAAATAATAAATATAATAACAAAAATTAAAATTAACTAAAACTCTATTTTATTATAAAAATTTAAAAATTTTGAAGTTTATTTTTTCAACTTTTTTTAAAGTTAAAGTTAGCTTGATAGGTAAAATTTATAATAGACAAGTATAAATAGATTTTATAAATTTAAATTGAGATCTCTAAATTTTCAGCTTTAGCCAATTTTAGCATTATGGTTTTTTTAAAAGAGTACGCCTTATTAAAATATCTATATTATGATCTTAATAGTTTGTATACGTAATTTATTGTTTAATTGTCACATGATTATATATTTGACCAATTAAATTTCATGTGATCAACCAATCACGAAAAATTTATCAATTTTGGTTTTTAGGTCAAGTTAAACTTGGCCCGGGTCAAAATGACCTTAGCAGAATTTTAGGGTTAATGCGGGCCGGGATTATGTTGATGCCGGTCGAGTTTTTTAATTGATTAATTTGATCTGGGTCAAGTTTAACTTGACCTAAAAACCCATATACATATGACACATCACATATAATGATCGAGATGGTTTTATAAGTACAATTATGATTATAAACATTTTTAGGTGTAAAGGATACTTTTTATTTAATGTCCATTTTTAAGCAGATTCCTATAAAATTACATTAAAATTTTGTTTGCTAACAATTTTTCCTTTTCAAATTTTAAGTAGCGATATAAAAGGATTTTAACGTAACATTATTAAGCATGCCCCTTCGGGAATGCCCAAATATTTTCCTGTACTCCCAATCCTAATGCAATTGTAATTGAATTTTACTAATAAGCCGTTGTTGTGAAATATAAGTTTACATTGTCTTGCTTTTATCTTAACGTTGTATATTAAACAAAAAAAAAAACGCACATATATATATTTATATATGATTAAGTAAATATCTTAAATTTTTAATAATAATTATTATTATTTTAAGACGCTTGTATTAACATAATGCAGATTTTACTTGACACAAAGAAAGAATTTGCCGGACAAACCATATATTTTCTCCGACAAGCAACATAAAATGGTCTCACCTTCTCCAATCATAACCTTCAAAAAAATCAAATTGCTTTTGTTTTTAGTGATTTTTGTTATTATTCCTTTAGTTGATAGCGCATGTAGTTGCTGTGGAGAAAAGGGACATAATATAAGAACATGTGATTTTAAAAACAAGGATTGTCCACGAAAAATAAATGGAAAGAAAAATAAACATAGTAATCTTGACATTTCACAAAGTAATTGTTTTTTTAAAATCAAAGCTGACAAATTTAATACAAAAGGAACCAAAATCAGTCCTTCTTGTCATTGTGCCCGAGAGGGAGATGAACAATGTCATGGGATTGCAAAGATGTTAGGTGGACCTGGAGACTGTGAAAATTGTTTTTCATGTTCTCGCAAAATGAATATTGACATGACAAAAATGGAGCGTTTGGTTAAAAAAAGTAATGGCGGTACTTATATTGTTTCTTGTGATAATTATTTGTATGCCAACACCATCATACAAAAATTCAATCCAAAAAAAGGTAGTCCTACGTCAACGACTATATTGCGTAATACCAATTATCATGACGAAATTTAACAATATAAGGTAAATAATAAAAGTTAAATTTCATTAAGTTTATATGATATAAATATATTAATTTATAGAATTTATTCTAGAAACTATGGAGATGTAAATAAGATTTGCGAAAATTTTTGCTTTCAATATTAGACTTTAGGATTAAAATTTAGATCAAATTTAAAACGTATATTTTTATTTAGTATTCTAAATAAAATTATTTTTGAATTCGATATTTAGTAAATATTAAAAGTAATTTATTAAGAATTAAAATTTGCTTGTAATGTAGATCATACAATTTTTTAAAAACTTTAGTCGAAGATACCTAGCAAAATTGATAGATTTTTAAAAAATTTTGCTCGTAGAATTCAAATAAAAAAAAAACTTAATCAAATTTTATTATCAGGTGCATGTCGAGATATCTTTTACCAAAGTTTCGTAAAATTTAAAATATCTATTAAGTAGAAGCTGAAGCTGCATTGCAGATTGTTGTTACACTTTAATAGAAGATATCTTGACACCCACCTGGTTAAATTTGATGAAATTCTTTTCATTTTACTCGTAGAAATCCAAATTGATCAGATATATCTTTAATCAAAGTTCAAAAAATTTAAATGATCTATATAGCAAATCATTTATTAGGATCAGTTTATATCAAAATATTACAAGGAGGTTTTCTTTATTAGAGCCCAGGTGATTTCATAGTCTATAAAAAAGATTTTTATGTATACCCAATGATTTGATTGACATCGATCTTTTGAAAAATAATCTAATTGGTGCACCTGTAACAATCTTTATCGTGGCACGTACTAGTAAAACTTTATTTTTATAATATTCTAGCTTATTAGTAGACATCTTCAACATTAGTACTATTGAAACAGATATGGTTGCTGCAAGTGTATAGTATCGAAAATATATTGATACGGTTGATTTTTTTTTTTTTTTTTTTTTATAGGAATCAAATAATAATTATTAATAAATAACTGCGTAATGTAGTTGCTGTGGCATTTTTGTCATAAAATATGACAATTTATGACACTATGACCAGGTACAATTTCCAGACTGTAAGTAAAAAGTCTGTTCTACCGAATAAATAATTTCCATCATAAGAATTTTCTTATTTATACAATCATTAAATTTGAATGCAAAATAATCTTTATTCTTACTAATTAATGACAAAATGATGTAAGTATTTATTAATTCAATAGCTTCTTAAATGCTTAGAATATAAATGTTATTTCTATTGTGCATTAAATTAACACGAATAAAATACTCTTGAAATTTAATGGCTTATTTTAAATCATATATTAACAAAAATTCTTTATATTTAATTCACTAGATTAACACAAATAAAAAATGGAATTAATAAATAATAAGCTTAATAGCTTATTTTATAGGCTTAAATTAATAAATGTTTTTTATAGCACACACTAGATTACTACAAATCAAATAAAATCAAATAGTAAATAATCATAAAATTTAACGGTTTATTTTAGGCGCTTCTTTGACTAACAAAAGTTCTTTATAATCGCCACTAAATTAATGCTAAAAATGAAATTAAATAACAGATATTAATTAAGTTTAATAGTCTACTCAAATACTTGGATTCATAAGCCTTCATTATGTCACGAACTAAATTAACACGAATCAAACGAAATTAATTTAATAATTCGATTAACAATTATTGTTTATACTCACGTATTAAATAAATGCAAATAAAATGGAATTAATAGTAGTATTCATGACTATTTTAGATGAATAAATAAACGTTTATTATATTAAGCACCAATAAATTGACACGAATAAATGAAATCAATATGAAATTCAATGGTGTACTTTAAATTCTCAAATTAACAAAATTTCTCCAGACTCAGTGCACTATGTCGACGAATAAGATGGTGTTTAATAGTAAATATGTCGCATCTGAAGTAGCGATTTATCTAAAGTAGCCACTTTATATATCTAAAGTGGCACCCTGGCTAAAATTAAAATCTAATGCATGCATGAAGATCTAATTTCAGGGGCTTAATTTTAGCCAGGCGCTACTTCAAATAAGTCGCTACTTCAGATGCGACAAATACGCAAGTTTTATGTTACAGTATTTATAGACTTACGCATACTGTCAATACCGTATACGTATAAAAAAAGCTACAAATATGGAAAAACAAAGTCACCAAGGAAGGGTTACCCAATCAAATGCAAAAGAGATACACCACTTAACTCACCTGTAAACCATACTCCACGTACCTTGTACCCCATTCCTGGTAAATATCTGCTTTGCGAAGACCTTAAATGAATTCAATATACTAACACCATTATTCATTGTATTCAGATGAAACTTACAGCATAATTCAATCTATATCTATATCCAGAAACCTCTAAATATTCTGGATTCATATTTTAATGAACTTGATGATAAAATTGAGAATTTAATTCTGACAGAATTTTTCAAATTGACGATCTATATTTTCTAGTTGGTTAATAGCATTATACGAATTTTGCGCAGAAAATTACCTCTATTATAAATACAAGTTTTGCTGTATTCACTCAGATAGGTATTATACTTACAGTACGTTTACTTCAATATTATAGTATCATGGCATTTGCGTGGGCTCACGGAATCCTCTACTTGACTTAGCTGCTTTAGAAAAGCCACATTTAAACCCCTTGTCAATCCTATATTTCATAAATAAGTTATGAAATCGGAGAAATTAGATCATATAAACGTGAATATAACCGATGGTGTAGGATATCTAAATACCGTTGACAAATTTCACCTTGTTTCTATAAAATGTAATCTGTGATCAAAATATGGGCTATGTTCTGAGAAAAGGGACCAAATTAATAAAAAAAAAGTTTAGCGGAAAATTGAATTTTATATTATAAATTCTATAATAAATTATAAGAAAATATAAAATTTAAAGAGTTGTACTGCAAAATTTTATTAAGGTAACAGAACTTGTTTCTTAAGTAAAAAATCTTTCTATGTTAATTTTGGATTAGTTAAGCTTGAAAATTTTTTTAAAAAAATTGTCAATTTGGTCCCTTTTCCCCCATATCGATATTATTTTACAGTACTATATAGGTTTATGTTTTATTGTGTAAGTAAAAGTATATTGTGATATTTGTGAGATTGAAATATTGATGTTTTATAATTTTATAATTTATCAGAGCTTATTAAATATTATGTTTGGCCAGATTTTCACATAGTAAATAAATATAATCGATAAAATTGTTATTTCTGTATTTTGCAAAAAAAAAACTTCATTAGCTTTGTTTTATCAGTATGATATTTATTATGCGTATTTCAATCCGAACGCATAAAGATGAGCCGGTCTGAGGCATCTCAGAATCGAATTTTAGATCTTAAATTGATTCTAGTTTGAGGTACGACACATATTTTTGAGGTGGGTTTGTTTCAGTATTTATTAAAAGTTCCGTTTTACACTGAGTTATTAGATAATTGACAGCTTAATTTTGCCGCAGACACTTAGTATGGTTAGTTCTACTATATAAAAAAATTTACGAATAAATTATTTGAAACTTTACTAAGAAATATAATCCTGAGGCACTTGTTCTTTCTTCTGACCTGATTTTTATTTGGGAAGAGGTTTTTTTTTGTTGAAAATATCTATATTCTCAATACTTCAAATATAATAAAGTTTTCGCAAGAGTATGAAGTTTTTGACATTTTATTTTTACATTATGTTTGACATTTTTAACTATACATGAAGTAAAAGCTAATGCAGCATTTAATCTAAAGTTGTTGAAAATGTTTTGGCTTCTACGCGCTTCTACGCATCATGTGCATTTTTAACTGTTATATTTATGGAAAAAAGTTAATTAACTACTGACTAAGATCTTAATAAAGGAGTGAAGTGCGTATACGCATTTATGTTTGAGGGTACACACCGATCTGGCAAAGGAATTTCTTTATTAAACGTGTTACACGAACTATTTTATAAATTTGTCGTCAACTAAAAAACCAGAACCCATAGTCTTTGTCACTGACAAAAAAGGTAATTATTGAGCCCTATTATTCAATTTTGGTAATTTCCTTGTTTTCAACATTATCAAATCTAATAAATGTGATTAAACGTCAATTTCGTATTGATTCGTCGAAAATTGATTTATAATGATAAATTTTTTGTTTCCTTTTCTTGGAAACCTTTGTCTAGATTCAAATCGAGATGCTCATGCGTAAGACGATCTAGTTTTTTTTCATGTGTGAGTAGTTAAACGGCCATTGTACTATTAACAATGCACCCATATTCTTTTTTTATTTATCAATCCGCAAATTACTAGTTTCATCAACTATGGGTATTCGATTACGTAAAAAAACATATAAACTGCCTTGCATTTCTTTGTTAATTTTGTGATTTCATGTCATAGCAAATTACAATTAATATCAATTTCTTTGTCGCTTAGATGTGTATAATTTAAAGACTTTTTCTCTTTTTTTTTTTTTGCTAGATCCTTTATTTTTTCTCCCTTGAATTAATAAAATTTTATTATTTAATTATTGTTTTTTTTTTGGGAGAAAATTATTAAATAGAGGACGTAAATTATATACATAAGCTTGATAAGTATCCGGGATACTTTGCAGTCATCTTCCTTCCCATCCCTGCTATATATATTTTTTTTCTCAGTATTATCTTTTCCATCTAGATAGAATATTATATCATTCATTCTCTCATTAGTACATTCCTCTTCTCTACACACCTGTATGCATTTATATTAAAGATGGCTGACTATTTTTTCACCGCCGCAACATGCTTGGCAATATTATTATGTATCGCACCAGGAATATTCTACGTCCAAACACGGAACTGGGGTGTAGTGCTTATGATATTTTGGGTAATAGCAACAAATTCCATACTTTTTATAAACTCTATACTTTGGGCTGATGATCTTGATGATAAAGCTCCTATTTATTGTTTGATTTCTACTCCAATATATGTTGGTGCAAACGTTGGCCTGTTGGCTTCTATTTCTTGTATGATTTATACTCTTTACACTCTCATCGCATGCCCTATGATCGTGACTGAGCAAGTTAAAAAAAAACAAACAGTTATAGATTTCAGTCTTATAATTGGTGCACCCATAGTTCTTACGGGATTCAATTATTTAGTTCAAACAAATAAATATGGGATTAGACCTGTTTTAGGCTGTTTCTCAGTCGAATATGTGAATGCATTGTTTTTTTTGGTACATGGAATATGGCCTGTTATCATTTCTATTATTGGTTGCTATTATGCAGGTACGTAGATTATTAAATTACTAAAAAAAAAAAACTTTTACATGAAAATATGCGTCAAGAAATTAATAATTCGATTTCTTTTTTTTAAGCACGTACATCCTATGCGATTTTGAAAAAACGATTTGAAATCCAAACTCTTTTGAGGCGTACTGAATCTGGTCTTAATAGTGCAAAATTCTATCGTCTCGTGTTTTTTTGTATCACCTTTTTAATATTCTCATTTCCGGCGTCACTCTTGACATTTTTCAGCAACATTGCACAATCTAAAAATTTATTAGACTTTAAGACTGCTTTTAGTCTTAATGACTATCATTATGAATTTGATAAAGTTCGAAGATTTGATTCCGGTATATCTGTTGTTGACTATGCGAAACCTTTGGCCGGGTTCTTCGTATTTTTATTCTTTGGTACTGGTCAAGATGCTTCAGCCGCCTATAAAAGATGGGCTAGGATGGCCAAATTGGATAGAATCTTTGTATTTCTCAAAGAAAATTATGATGATTTGCGTAGTCAATCTACAAAATCTTCGTAAGTATTTCATTATTAAAATGTGAATTCGTTAATTCATTAATGATTATTATTATTAATCTCTTTATATATATATTATTTTTAATTAGTCAAAACTCTACATTCCAAAGCAATGGTCAAGTGCCTTCATTTCCTGACTCTCCATTTAGATCACCAAAACATTTTCGTCGTCAATCTGATTCTTTTGGTGACGAAAAAGACATCCAAAAAATAGAATCTACCACTTATCTAAAACCAAAGAAAGGCTTAAGTAACTTATTATTTCTCAATGGTCATCGTACACTTAGTGAACAAGCTCAAATTGATATGACAAGTGGCATTCACATTAAAATTGATGGAATTACTACAAATATCATTCGAGATGATAATGATAGTTCAATTGAAGAATCTACGTCAGTTTATCAAGCAGTAAATGTGTTTCCAAGAGGAATTAATGAAGCTCTTGAGGAATATGATAATAAGAGATTGGATGAGCAAAATGAAACGTCAACATTTGGCCCAATTTCAAGGACTGCTTCAATGAAGTCATCTTCGAATGTTCATGAATATAATAATTCTTTCAAACCTAAAACTGTCCAATATATTAACATACAACCAGATTATGTTGATGCGGACAACTTTTCAAATAATTCTTTAACAATACATATTGAAGATGATAATGAATTCAATTAAGTTAGTTAATCCTATAATACTTCTTGTACTTTAGCATTTAACAGAATATTGGTGCTGTGTTATATTCTTATTTTTAAGGGCATTTTATAATTTTAAATTTTGTAACATTAGTATAGATTCATCGATTACCAAAAAAAATCTTTATTCATAACACTTGTATGAAATTCATTCATTTTTTCTTTTCTTTTTCACTATATTTAGCATAGTAATAACCTAAGATTATTTATAATTGCATTCATTTATATATGTCTCATTTATCAATTTTTTTCATTTATTCACATTTGCATATAAACGCACCTCTTATCATGTCATTTTGCATCCTTGTTCCTTTGTACATAAAATCTGTTGACAGTTTTTTTTAAAAAAACAAATAAATTATAGATTCACTTTGATTAAATTTTTGAATAAATATAATATATAGTGCGATGGATATAACACTTAAGTTTGTTTTTGTGTTACGAACGTAATTGAAATGTATATGTTATAAGTGGAAATGTGAACGAACTTTAAGTTGATTTTGAATTAATAAAATTATAATTTTAGAATAGAATTTATTTTATATAAACCTACACCCTACCCCCATTTCCAATTACAACAGTCACGAGTTAATCAAAGAAATGGTCACCTGCAGTAATAACAATTAAATATGCTTGAAAGCATGTGGCTAATATTTTAATTACCTACTGAATATTCGAATATTTATGATTCCAATGACTTTAAAAGTTAAAGTTGTCAAGTCTTTGCTATTGTACAAAAAATTGGTTTTTATTATTTGTAAATTTATATTTATTTAAATATTAGGGTTATGAGAGAATTTAAAAATTTTTTTTTTTGAGTCTTTTTCAGGCTGTTGCCATCATTACTTTTTAGACTCTTTAAAGGCTTGCTTGTCTTTTGCAAGATACCAAGTGTGCCTCTGTCTCTTAACTTATTCTGATACACTTGACATTCTGTTGTTGTATATATATTTGGCATTCTTCTGTTTAACTCTTCTAGGATCAAAAATCCGTCTATTATGCATTTTATAATTGCTATTCTTTTTGTTCTAATTCTTTTTAAGATATATTATATTCTCTTTGTTGTACTCATTCTTTTTTAAAAGTATCTTTTTAGTCATAAATTGTGATCTTTGTTTCTAGTTCAAAATTTTTAATTGTGTTTGTTTTTTTTATTCTATTCTTATTTTAGTATTTATTTTCAGTTTGCAAAGAAGTCTTAATAGTATGTTAGTTCATCTGTTTATTTTTTATATTAAACTAGTCTTTCTGAGATTAGGGTTTTTTTATTCAATATGTAGAATATAGAAGCTCATGGTCTGATTATCTCAGACGTGCAACCTTACATTAGAGAGTACATCTAATCACATGTACACCTTTAGTGTTTAATTTAAATAGTTTGTTTATATATAGGTTCTACACTAGTTGTTATACCTGCAACTCAACTATGAGTGGCTCATCTTCAGAAAGACAAATCACAATTCAATCCTTCCAACTCTTATTTCTATACAGGTCTTAACATTAAGTAAAACTAAACTGTTGACTTCATCTTTTATAAAAAAAAACTATTTAGATATATAGATAATAGGTAATCTTCTCTAATACATCTTCTTAAGGACTAAAGGTTTAGTAATTATTCTAGTAAAGAATAGGTTAAGAATAAAGTAGCACTTACTCTCATTTTTTTTAATATAGTTTTTTCTTATATATCAGTTTTATATATGTACAATTAACTATAAAATAAAAAACATAAAGGATAAACTTTTCTTTAAAAAAAAAATAAATAAAATTAAGTTATATATTATAATTAATAAAGATATCATAAAGAAATATAAGTAAAATATACCAACTAATAATAAGTCTAACAAAATAGAAAAATAATCTATAAAGAATATTAAAAAACTGTATAATAGAATACAAAAATTTTAGAAACTATTAAGAATTAATAATGAAGCAAGTAGATGGTCTATTAGCAAAATTAAATAAATAAACCATTTCTAAATAGTTAACAAAACTAAGAATAATGTAAGACTACCAAAAAGCAGATTTAACAAAAGACAAAGGTTTTTTTCAACCTATCCTAGTTAGAAAATAATTTGAAATAATTATCTATAGTATTTATTAGAAAATAAGAGGTATAATGTCATATTGGGTGTCTAATTTAGTAACACAAATGTAGTTTAGAAATCTTTATTTTAGTAATTTTTTTTTGTAATTAAATTTCTTATTGTATCTTAAAGTTTTTACTATGATATTATATAAATAAATAAATAAATAAATAAAAAAACAAATGATATAAATAAAATTCAAAAAAAATATTAAAAACTAAAAATAATTAAAAAAATAACTTGGCTTGTTTAATAAAAAAAGCTAAGAATAAATATAAGAATAGAAAATAATTTATAAATAATATTTGGACATAATATCAAAATAAAAGAGCTTGTAAATACTTATTTATAAAAGAAAAATAAAATTAGAATAAATAAAACAGATCAAATATACTTAAACTAACTGTTTAATAAAAAAAAATTTAATTGTATGCTAATAACTAAAAAATTATCAAAACTTATTAAATGAAAAAATAAAATAAAATAATTTATCTTAGAACAAATAAAAAAAATATCTAAATAATGTAAATTAAATAGAAGTATATTTTTGAAAATAGAAGAAAAAAAGAATGAGTAGTATATAATTCATGAAATTATAGTTAGATAAAAAAAATAATTAAAAAGAAAAAAAAAATTAATAAAACACTAATAAATGCAAAATAATAATAATGAACTAGTTACTAAAATAAAGAAATTAATAGTTATACAAGAAAGCAAGAATAAATAAAAGATAGCTACCAATAATAAATAATAATAAATAGCAAAATTAATATAATTTCAGATATGTTAATAAAAAAAAACAACAATAAGATTAAGATAGCAATAGATTAAATAACAGAAATAATAAAGACAAATAAGCCTGAAACTGAAAAATAAAAGTTTGAAAGACTTATAATAATAAAAGAACTAAAAGTAAAGATTATTAAATAATAAAAACTAAAAAAAATATTAATTAAAAAATAATAAAAATTTTGAGAAAGAACATAATAAAAAATAAAAACAAATATATAATATATATAGATAAAGTAGTAAATATAAATATTGAGAATGGTAATCCTAGTATAGTAGTTGAGTTGTCATCCTCCAAGTAGCAGGTCTAAGGTTCAAATCCTACCTATGATGAAATTTGGAAATTATATCTGCATTATGATAACTGTCTTCTGTCAATCAGTTGGCCTCATATGGCTGTTACCTAGGTACATCAAGTCAGGTCCTCCCAACATTGGAAGCTCAGACATCTATGTAAAGTATAATATTACATATACATAGAGGAATGTTTACCAGTGTTGCATAAGACTTTGGTGCAAACTCATGATAAGACCACCGGTCATAGAAGACTAAAAAACTAAGGTAACAGAAACCCACTTGGAAATTCCCGAGTAAAGAGGTAGCATGAACTTTTGATAGTATCATT